TAGTCGAGAGCCGAAGAGTGGACAGGACCCCTTTCGATCGTTGAAAGTACGAAACCCCGTCGCATTAGGAGAGGTGAATTGTTGCAATAGGAGACGGGGAACAAGGAACGAAAGTCAGGCTCGGTCCAAGCCTCAACGTCCCAACAAGGATCCAATAAAATAATGTGCACCTCAAACAGTGACTCTGAAAGAATAGTGAATGATTGGCTCCGGCTGTTCAGATAAGGGGTAGAGTGTGGAGGTTTCTCACCACAAGCCACAATTGCCCGAGGCACCGCCACCAACCGGGTTGTCAATTATCCTTTTAGTGTGGCTGCCGAGCTGGCATTGCCCTGGCTGACAGGAGAAGAAGTGAGATTTTGACAGGTTGGGATGGACTCCTGCGTCGTGAGTGGTGGTAAGCTTCCTGGAGAAAATGGAGCTAACGGAATGAGCTAACTAGAAACTCACTACTTGAGCTAGAGGGTGAACCTCGCTAGGCTGGGCGGGTTACTCCGGCTTTCTTGTCCTCTTTACACATGTGACTCTTGCGAATGTTTTCTCGATCGCTTGTCTCAAAGGGTTTACAGCCTCAACTGGAGTGTTCTCTCACCTACCTCCACCCCCCTAAAAGGGGGAAAAAAAAGGTCCCGGCGCAGCTTTTACTTTCCAACCAGGTCGCAGCAAGGCAGTCCTTCCTCCCGCAGCTGTCTCACAGCGGGCAACTGGTTGGAGGGCGCCTATCCCTGTGAGATGCGAGGCCAACAAGTGATTGAGGCTAGCCGATGGATGGCGTGACCCTCAGCTCTTATCTCATACAGCTGGCACGGAGGAGTGTGTTGTGATATCGGCGACATCTGGCTAATGCTATAGTATCACTCTTAATCTTGCCAGAAAATATCCCGCCCTAGCCACGGCTACGACGCAAGTAAATATGCTGCGGTTAGCGACGACAACTGCTGCCCCGTCGACAGGCAAGCACGCAGCAAGCGGCAGAGCAGTGCAGAGTGAATATAAAATTAATATACTTGAATATACATGCCAAAGTTCACGTATTACATAAGCAGCTCAAGGTAAGGCTGAGGCGGCCTGCAGCCACGCACGACGACGTAATCGGGCCCGCGTTATCTCCACGCACCGGCCTGCGCTACTGAACGCGCGCGGGTGGACGTAGGCCGCGCGGTGCGTGTGCGCAAGGCCTGACTAAGCCGACCAATAGCGCTGGGGCCCCACTTAAAATCGCCCAAAGGATGCAAAATAGCCCAAAGCGGGCTAGAGCCAAAAACCAGCGACAAGTGTGCACGCTCAACCTCCCGGTAAAACAACCTCCAGTTCTTCATTCTTCTCCTTCGAACCATCACCTCCATCTCAGACAGCGACAGCCCATCCCAGATCAGCCCCAGCACGCAGCAGAAAGCAGCTCCAGTAAGGCTCTCCTCACAGACCTCTCCCTCTCGCAGCTCGTTTTCCGTCCTCTTGCTGCTCGCCTCGATCCCTTTTTCCGCCTTGCTCTCCCTGCTCTCTCCCCTTGTTGCCAGCTCTTCCAGTCACTGCTCCTTGACCCGAAAACATATAAAAAAAAGACGAAGAAGAAGATAACTGTATGTAACTGCCTGTACACTACATTTTTTCCCCTCCTCCAGCATCCCTCTTTGCCACCAGCCTCCGGTTCTGTCCCCTCGTCGTGTCGTGGACCCCGTCGAGTTTCCTTGGCTGTATCCCTTGCCCTGTCTGCCTGTTATCATTTTTCAGCTTGCTCCAGAAAACTGATAAGAAGAACCCATCTTGGGTTGTTGTCTCTACAGATGGCCGAGATTCGTCGTAAGCTCGTCATCGTTGGCGATGGTGCCTGCGGAAAGACTTGTTTGTTGATGTGAGTAAACACCGTTATCTTGCTCTCACTGTCCCTCCCTCCCTCGTTTATGCAGCGTGTTTGCTCACCATATACCTTGGAACATACATGCTAATCTGTGTTGAACAGCGTTTTCTCGAAGGGCACTTTCCCAGAGGTTAGTTTCTGCTCAATATCTGCTACCGCCGATCCATCGACCGAGCGTTTCGGACTGTGATTACAACATATCCAATATCTTGACTAACCTTGCTTCTCTCCATCAAAAGGTCTACGTCCCAACTGTCTTCGAGAACTATGTTGCCGATGTCGAGGTTGATGGAAAGCATGTTGAGCTCGCCCTATGGGATACTGCTGGTCAGGAAGATTATGACCGTCTTCGCCCACTTTCATACCCAGACTCCCACGTCATTCTGATCTGCTTCGCCATCGATTCCCCAGACTCCCTTGACAACGTCCAAGAGAAGGTAAGGAAGCTGCAGCTAGCTGATAAAAACAACAGAGCAAAACAGTTCGTATCAGATTGCTAACAGTGTTGAAAAAATACAAACAGTGGATCTCTGAGGTCCTTCACTTCTGCTCCGGCCACCCTATCATTCTCGTTGGATGCAAGAAGGATCTTCGACATGACCAACGAACCATAGAGGAACTGCACAAGACCTCCCAGAAGCCTGTAACCCCTGAGCAGGTATGTGATAAGTTTCTCTCCCCCTATTCGTCACTTTCAACATTTATCTAACAAATGTCATAGGGTGAGGAGGTCCGCAAGAAGATTGGCGCATACAAGTACCTGGAGTGCTCTGCCCGAACAAACGAGGGTGTCCGCGAAGTTTTCGAGTCAGCCACCCGTGCTGCCCTGCTATCCAAAGAGAAGACCAAGAAGTCCAAGTGTAGGCTTTTGTAAGGAGTTGTCCATCTACCCGGTTGATTCTCTTCAAAGCGTGCAGTTTTTTCACCTCCATCAGTCGCCCAGGCGGACAGGACTTTTGACAAACGAGATCAAGAATGCGTGAACGCAATGTGTCCCTGACTATTGACCCTCTACCTTGTTGATGTGGGTTGAGGGTGGTCTGTACCCTACAAGCAATATGTGTCTCATGGCGATTTCTGTCTGGTTATACGGGATTTGCCCCCACCTTGTTGTTCTCACCCATCTGAGGATCCGGAAAGCAGCATGTCAAGGGAGAGAGCGTAGTCTTTGTTTTGCCAGGCACAACATTCGGCGATCATGCAGCTTTGCTCTCTCATACACCACGAGTACAGTTCCGTCTCTCTTTCCTTGAATCCTCTTACTATTTTCCTATCTCATTTTCCCCTTTATTCTCCTTGCCTTTTCTTTTATTTTATTTTTTCCTCTTTCCTCTTTTGTTCTCTTTAATTATGTTTTCTTTTAATTTGTGAGCCTGGAACCAGCAAGCTGCCATCTATCAAACCACCCCCAGCTTTTCTCCTCTACCTTGGACGGAGTATTAAAGAGGACAGCGATAAACGAGGACTTATGTGTCTTTTTATACCTAGTTGCCTATATCCCCTCATGTTGCTTGCTAGTTCACACTCAATTCTGCCCCTTCTGGAGCGAAAGAAAATGGAAAAACCACCCAGAATCGACCCTTTATACCTACCAACACACAAATTACTTGAAGAAACACTATGGAGATACCACGACCATTTGCTCAATCATATCTCAATATCTTGTTTCTCACTCCTCCTTCTCGTTACCACCTGTCGTCCTACTTCGTTCCCCCCTCAAGTCCTTTAATCCCGCCGTAACAAAACACCTGGTTCGATATTAACAGCTTGTTCCTGGACACTGGTTCACAAATCAGCATATACTCTCTGCTTGAACCTGATAAATCGCATTCTTACTTGCTGTCAAGACTTATGTCAGACCCCTGCCCTCTCCTTTCTTTCGTCTACTTCGTATCCAGGCATTTTCCCCATTCGTTTATCGTCATGGCGTAATACTCTAGTCGATCATATAATCAAACACCCGTTTGGCTTGTATGCTGCTACCTCTGGGTCCTCCGTATAGCCTGTTCCTCTGCCATACCGGTATGTTGTTATAGGTACCGACATGTCATAAGTTAAGCTTAAAGCACAAGCACCTGAAAAGGCTATTTTTGGCTTTTAATATCAACGACCTATGCGTTCTGAAGGATTGCATAACATCACAATCCTGTTCATCCTTGTCACTGACGCTGGTGTGGAATTCCAGCCAACTCTTTCTGCTGATGTCCCTCGAGGACGTATAGTATGGCTGCTAAGATCGGTTAGTTGCATGGGCGTTGGAGGGCTGCTGATGGACAGGAGGACCTATGCCTGGGCAGCACTCGTCTACAGATATATCCCCAAGTCGAAGAAAAGGCCAAAGGCTATTTAGTCTCGAGTTCAGTCAAACAGATCATTCCATATCGTGGGGAGGTTTGGCAGAGTGAGCTTTAGTGCATGATGTGATTATCAACTCACTGCAACCGTTGACATAAAGACGAAGGACATGGAGAATGCAAGCTAAACATTAGACACGGTAATGTGAGAATAAGTTTCCAAAAATAATCGCATATTTACATTCGTTAATTGATATATTAGTTTTATATGTTCGTTTGAGGTGAGATAACTCCAGCTCGAGTCAATTGAACATTAATCCATATAGTCTCCTGTATTTCCCTTGTCAAAAGTTGCCAAAAGCAGTCAACCCGTGCTTCTAGCAGTCGCATATTCCACAACTTTCCCATGCACAAGATTATGCTGCAATCTCTTGCCGTCCGTTGTCTGGCAACTCAGTTGCCCTAGGTTGTTGAGGCATGGACAGCATCTGCCGTTTGGTGAACATCCCACTATCCGCCAATTCCGATCTTGGTGATAGGGGTGATGATGCTGTAGACATAGTTTGAGATTCTGCCATCGATGGTTGAGTCGGAGAATGCATTTCATGAGCAGAAGGTGAACCTGATCCCCCAGACTGGCCTTTGGGCTCCTCTACCGATGCTTTAACAATGGGATTCCGCTGTCCAAGTCTATATGATATGAAGCAGAGGAAGGCTACAAATGCAATGAGGCCGATTACTCCAACCACGATTCCTGCGATGGCCCCGCCTGAAAGCTTTCCTGAACCGACTGGTGGTGGTATTGGGGTGTTCGTTGAGGTTGATGGTGAGGTTGGAATGAATGTCATGGGCGAGGTGCTCTCAGGGGAAGACGTATTGCTCGTGCTAGCAGAGGATTCGGTGGGGGTTGGTTCAGCTGATGAAGGTGTTGACGATATCTCCTCGCCGTTCATGTTGACGAGATATGATAAAGACACATTTTGTCCCTGGTATCGAGGCCCCCATGGAGGACAGGACCATCCGTTACGGTCTCCGCAATGGTCATCTGAGAACAGAGAGATGCAATGCATGCTCCCCTCCGAATCCCATCGATACTGTTTTCCCTTCGGGAGGTTCATCTTGGTACATTTTCGGTCGTTGGTTCCATTGTCTATATGGGTGTCGCCACGGTCATCAGTCCACCACCAAGTCCAGCCATGTGTGAGGCTTGGTAGGAAGGCGATAATAATGAAGGCCAGCCGGATTGATGGCCACTGTTTCGTTTGGGAGGGCATTCTGTCTGCGACGACGGGGTGGGTCGAGCGTGCCGCAACTTTCACTCCATCTTAAGCCTTTTGTTTGATATATCCAAACAACTGAGCGTTGAAATGCGCACACGATTCTAGATAAGATATTCGAAGCCCGTTCAGCGGTGAATGTTTCCTTCAAAAGTGGTGTACCACGTCAGATGAGATGATATAAAAATTCTCGTATAGACAGCAAATTGCCGGGAGAGGGCCCTGTTAAAGGGGCTACGACCATGCCGTGCAGCGACTTCCTCGACCCGAGAATTCACCCATGCCGTCTTTCCTCCATCCCATGGGCAGGGAATATGGTGGAGTCGTATCCTCCTGATCTGGATATTTTGCAGCTGCTCACACCCTGAGTGGTTAGCGGGCCTCGTATAACGCCTAGCTGGTGGAGATAGCTTTCTTCAGCTCATTCCACCCTGGCAACTATGAGGCTCTAGATTTGAACATCCTGTCGCATAACACACGGATATCCAGTGAAAATTCACCTCCGGAACCTCGTTTCTCTGGTATTTGGTGAGAGAATATCATGTTTGTTTATTTATCAAGACTGGACGGGAAACTCCCGTTTATTTCGGCGGTTGTAACTAACCAAGGGACAGGACAAAGTCTAACCGTGAGTGATCGACATTAAAAGCATGTGGCAGCCTTGCTCAGACGTTCAGGTACAGGCAGTTAACTACAGAAGCTATAGAAGTCGGTTAGACTCCAAACCACAGGGGTTGACTTGTCGGGACGTTATGTCGACCTCTCCCCAACTGAACCCGGTTCCATGAATATAATGAATATTTTGACATAACTCTAGGAGATATCTGGATCGGAGATGCTATTATACCCCTGAAGGAAGCCATTATCATTCTTGTTGGTTGTGAGGATGGATACCCTAACCGAAAGACTATGAACCGAGAGAAACGATGTACTATAATTATAATACACATCCCGGACTATGCTTTCAAATCTGGAGTGAGATACCATTACCTCTTGCTCAGCCAAAGAGCTTGGTGGTTACAATATTGCTTCAGTCCTTCCACGCCAAATTCAGTTCCGATACCACTGCATTTATGTCCCCCAAAGGGGATATGAGGCAAAGCATTGAAATGGCAATTAATCCAGGCAACGCCGGAATCAAACTGCCTGAGGATTCTCTCGGCGCGGACAAGGTCTTTGCTCCATACGGATGCCCCAAGACCCATGTTAGAGTCATTCGCACGAGCAATAACCTCATCTTCATCAGACCATTTGAGGAGAGGAAGGACCGGGCCAAAGGGTTCCTCGGTCACTGCGCGGGAAGTATCTGGCGGGTTGTCGATGATGGTAGGCTTGATGTAGTATCCTTCTGACTCCTCGACTTCTCCTCCAAGAATAGGCCTTACACCTTCCGCTTTGATAGCCTCGATGAGTGATTTGACGCTCTCATACTGCATATTGTTTTGGATCGGACCGATAAACGAATCTGGATTGTGACCTTCACCCACTTTTAGGGCTGCAGTATATTTGACCAAGGCATCACGGAACTGATCATATATCTTCTCGTGAACATATAGCCGTTTTATCATCATGCAGATCTGGCTGGAGCAGTAGAAGCAGGCCGTGGCAATCTACAAGACTCGTCAGTATGCGAACTGCAATAAACTATCATACTTTTGAAAAAGGAGTCGAATCTCTCCAACCTTTGGAATAACCTCCTCGAGATCTACATCTTCGCACACAACAGCCGCATCGTTTCCACCTAGTTCAAGCGTCACTCTTTTCAGCGACTTTGCACAGCTTTCCATAACTTTCTTTCCCGTCGCAATTGAGCCGGTGAAGCTTATCTTGTCAATCCCTGAGTGGGCGGTCATCATCGGACCCAGATCATCTCCACCACTAAGAACTTGCAAAATGCCAGGAGGAAAGTACTGCATGCCGAGCTCGCCTAATTTTAGGCCACAATAGGGAGTAAAAGGAGACGGCTTCAGAATAATAGCGTTCCCGGTATAGATAGCGGCTGCTATCTTCCCACAGGCAAGGAGAATGGGGTAGTTCCATGGAACGATACCACAAGCAACACCTAATGGGGTATATCGGCTAATAATCTTATGCTCGTCTGTGTCCTCGAGGACCTCTTCATTCATACTCAGTGAGGAAATGCCCTTGAGGAATGCCACTGCAGCCCCTGCCTCGGCCTGAGCCTGCTCTAACGGCTTGCCTTGCTCTGTGACTAGGAGGTCGGCGAATTCGTCCTTGTAGTGATCGAGACCATCTGCATAGCAATGAAGAGCTGCCCTACGCTCTTCGAAGGTGGTTTTCGA